TATACTGTGTCGTGTTATTCTATACTGTGTCGTGTTATTCTATACTGTGTCGTGTTATTCTATACTGTGTCGTGTTATTCTATACTGTGTGTTGTTATTCTATACTGTGTCGTGTTATTCTATACTGTGTCGTGTTATTCTATACTGTGTCGTGTTATTCTATACTGTGTCGTGTTATTCTATACTGTGTCGTGTTATTCTATACTGTGTCGTGTTATTCTATATCGTGTCGTGTTATTCTATACTGTGTCGTGTTATTCTATACTGTGTCGTGTTATTCTATACTGTGTCGTGTTATTCTATACTGTCGTGTTATTCTATACTGTGTGTTGTTATTCTATACTGTGTGTTGTTATTCTATACTGTCGTGTTATTCTATACTGTGTGTTGTTATTCTATACCGTGTCGTGTTATTCTATACCGTGTCGTGTTATTCTATACTGTGTCGTGTTATTCTATACCGTGTCGTGTTATTCTATACTGTGTCGTGTTATTCTATACTGTGTCGTGTTATTCTATACTGTGTCGTGTTATTCTATACTGTGTGTTGTTATTCTATACCGTGTCGTGTTATTCTATATTGTGTCGTGTTATTCTATACCTTGTCGTGTTATTCTATACTGTGTCGTGTTATTCTATACTGTGTGTTGTTATTCTATACCGTGTCGTGTTATTCTATACCGTGTCGTGTTATTCTATACTGTGTCGTGTTATTCTATACTGTGTGTTGTTATTCTATACCGTGTCGTGTTATTCTATACCGTGTCGTGTTATTCTATACCGTGTCGTGTTATTCTATACTGTGTGTTGTTATTCTATACCGTGTCGTGTTATTCTATACCGTGTCGTGTTATTCTATACTGTGTCTTGTTATTCTATACTGTGTGTTGTTATTCTATACCGTGTCGTGTTATTCTATACCGTGTCGTGTTATTCTATACTGTGTCGTGTTATTCTATACTGTGTCGTGTTATTCTATACTGTGTCGTGTTATTCTATACTGTGTGTTGTTATTCTATACCGTGTCGTGTTATTCTATATTGTGTCGTGTTATTCTATACCGTGTCGTGTTATTCTATACTGTGTCGTGTTATTCTATACTGTGTGTTGTTATTCTATACCGTGTCGTGTTATTCTATACTGTGTCGTGTTATTCTATACTGTGTGTTGTTATTCTATATCGTGTCGTGTTATTCTATACTGTGTCGTGTTATTCTATACTGTGTCGTGTTATTCTATACTGTGTCGTGTTATTCTATACTGTGTGTTGTTATTCTATACTGTGTCGTGTTATTCTATACTGTGTCGTGTTATTCTATACTGTGTGTTGTTATTCTATACTGTGTCGTGTTATTCTATACTGTGTCGTGTTATTCTATACTGTGTCGTGTTATTCTATACTGTGTCGTGTTATTCTATACTGTGTCGTGTTATTCTATACTGTGTCGTGTTATTCTATACTGTGTGTTGTTATTCTATACTGTGTCGTGTTATTCTATACTGTGTCGTGTTATTCTATACTGTGTCGTGTTATTCTATACTGTGTCGTGTTATTCTATACTGTGTCGTGTTATTCTATACTGTGTCGTGTTATTCTATATCGTGTCGTGTTATTCTATACTGTGTCGTGTTATTCTATACTGTGTCGTGTTATTCTATACTGTGTCGTGTTATTCTATACTGTCGTGTTATTCTATACTGTGTGTTGTTATTCTATACTGTGTGTTGTTATTCTATACTGTCGTGTTATTCTATACTGTGTGTTGTTATTCTATACCGTGTCGTGTTATTCTATACCGTGTCGTGTTATTCTATACTGTGTCGTGTTATTCTATACCGTGTCGTGTTATTCTATACTGTGTCGTGTTATTCTATACTGTGTCGTGTTATTCTATACTGTGTCGTGTTATTCTATACTGTGTGTTGTTATTCTATACCGTGTCGTGTTATTCTATATTGTGTCGTGTTATTCTATACCTTGTCGTGTTATTCTATACTGTGTCGTGTTATTCTATACTGTGTGTTGTTATTCTATACCGTGTCGTGTTATTCTATACCGTGTCGTGTTATTCTATACTGTGTCGTGTTATTCTATACTGTGTGTTGTTATTCTATACCGTGTCGTGTTATTCTATACCGTGTCGTGTTATTCTATACCGTGTCGTGTTATTCTATACTGTGTGTTGTTATTCTATACCGTGTCGTGTTATTCTATACCGTGTCGTGTTATTCTATACTGTGTCTTGTTATTCTATACTGTGTGTTGTTATTCTATACCGTGTCGTGTTATTCTATACCGTGTCGTGTTATTCTATACTGTGTCGTGTTATTCTATACTGTGTCGTGTTATTCTATACTGTGTCGTGTTATTCTATACTGTGTGTTGTTATTCTATACCGTGTCGTGTTATTCTATATTGTGTCGTGTTATTCTATACCGTGTCGTGTTATTCTATACTGTGTCGTGTTATTCTATACTGTGTGTTGTTATTCTATACCGTGTCGTGTTATTCTATACTGTGTCGTGTTATTCTATACTGTGTGTTGTTATTCTATATCGTGTCGTGTTATTCTATACTGTGTCGTGTTATTCTATACTGTGTCGTGTTATTCTATACTGTGTCGTGTTATTCTATACTGTGTGTTGTTATTCTATACTGTGTCGTGTTATTCTATACTGTGTCGTGTTATTCTATACTGTGTCGTGTTATTCTATACTGTGTTGTGTTATTCTATACTGTGTCGTGTTATTCTATACTGTGTGTTGTTATTCTATACTGTGTGTTGTTATTCTATACCGTGTCGTGTTATTCTATACTGTGTCGTGTTATTCTATACCGTGTCGTGTTATTCTATACTGTGTCGTGTTATTCTATACTGTGTCGTGTTATTCTATACTGTGTCGTGTTATTCTATACTGTGTGTTGTTATTCTATACTTTGTCGTGTTATTCTATACTGTGTCGTGTTATTCTATACTGTGTCGTGTTATTCTATACTGTGTGTTGTTATTCTATACTGTGTCGTGTTATTCTATACTGTGTCGTGTTATTCTATACTTTGTCGTGTTATTCTATACTGTGTGTTGTTATTCTATACCGTGTCGTGTTATTCTATACTGTGTCGTGTTATTCTATACCGTGTCGTGTTATTCTATACTGTGTCGTGTTATTCTATACTGTGTCGTGTTATTCTATACTGTGTCGTGTTATTCTATACTGTGTGTTGTTATTGTATACTGTGTCGTGTTATTCTATACTGTGTCGTGTTATTCTATACTGTGTTGTTATTCTATACTGTGTGTTGTTATTCTATACTGTCGTGTTATTCTATACTGTGTCGTGTTATTCTATACTGTGTGTTGTTATTCTATACTGTCGTGTTATTCTATATTGTGTGTTGTTATTCTATACTGTGTGTTGTTATTCTATACTGTCGTGTTATTCTATACTGTGTGTTGTTATTCTATACCGTGTCGTGTTATTCTATACCGTGTCGTGTTATTCTATACTGTGTCGTGTTATTCTATACCGTGTCGTGTTATTCTATACTGTGTCGTGTTAATCTATACTGTGTCGTGTTATTCTTTATTGTTTCGTGTTATTCTACACTGTGTCGTGTTATTCTATATAGTGTCGTGTTATTCTACACTGTGTCGTGTTATTCTATACTGTGAGTTGTTATTCTATACCGTGTCGTGATATTCTATACTGTGTGTTGTTATTCTATACTGTGTGTTGTTATTCTAAACCGTGTCGTGATATTCTATACTGTGTCGTGTTATTCTATATCGTGTCGTGTTATTCTATATTGTGTCGTGTTATTCTATACTGTGTGTTGTTATTCTATACCGTGTCGTGTTATTCTATACTGTGTCTTGTTATTCTATACTGTGTCTTGTTATTCTATACTGTGTGTTGTTATTCTATACCGTGTCGTGTTATTCTATACTGTGTCTTGTTATTCTATACTGTGTCTTGTTATTCTATACCGTGTCGTGTTATTCTATACTGTGTCGTTGTTGGATTCTGATCAATTGTTTGGATTAATTTTTATTCAAGCGGTCTTCATTTAAGTTGTAAAGGGAAGTAACTTTTATGTTGTTGTTGGTATCGCTATGTACAAGAGACTGTGTTGTGAGCGGGGGACCGTGGAGGTTATAAAACGGTAATTATGATATTAAATACAAAACTTCAGTAACCGAGAAGTAAGACATTATTAATGTGACCGTTTATTTTCATATTTGCGTCTAAATATTAGTATATTCATAGACTTTTCTGCATTATTTTGCAGTCAATCAAGCCGACAGCGCTACCTTAGTATTTCGTGGCAACGGCACCCTTCAACTAGAACAAGAAACTGTTAGAATATGAAACTAAGAATTAGAATAAATGATGAAGTTGAAGAATGATTTGACGTCCTCAATTCTTGAAACCCACATAAATTGACTGTGGTTATCTTCCGTTCGACCTCGCCACACCAGTCATTAGTAGACAACGTGCGTCTCGCTCGAGCAGCCGAAGATACAGTCTGACCAAACTAAGTTGTTGTTTTGTCTTTGGACTTCTCAGATTTAGCACAAACAGATTTAGAATGGCATTTGAGTGCTCATACTATGGAAACTGAGGCAGAAAAACGGAAAATAACAATGACATCGAAAGGATTGATGTATTCACTAGACATTAAGAAGAAATTAATTCGTTCTCTGTGCAAAAAGTTGTTTGTAGTTGGAAACACTGTTGACAGAATCTTGAAATCAGATGAACCGGTTGCATATGAAGAGGTTCGCAAGACTTATGTGAACTGGTTAACCATTTTTGAGGATATTCTGACAGAAAGAGCTTATTATTCTGCACTTGTGCTGTCATGTGTGGATGTTCCACAGGAATATTTCGATGACTTGTCTATGCTTGACTCTGAAATAGATGGTTTTCAGAATTTTAGGGTAAATATTTCTGGATGGATGCAGAATAAAGAATTTGAACGAAGACAGCAATCAAATATGGATGACTATGCATCAGAATTGTCAAAGAGTAGTATCAGATCTCGCAGATCATCATCTTCTATTTCACACGTGTCTTCTGTACGCCTGAAAGAAGAGCAGAAGAAGGTTGAGTTATTAGTCAAAGCTGCTGCATTAAAAAAGAAGCATGAGTTAGAGGTGGAAAAAGTGAGGTTGAAAATGGAGGAAGAAGAGCTGGACATGGCTAAGACGGAGATGGCTATTTCTGATGCAAGATGGAAGGTACTAGATGAGTACGATTTTGAAAATGAACATAGCAGCAGACAAAGTACTGGTTTTGGTAAACAAAACACTCGACAACCGATGGATTTTAGTGACAGGGATCCTTTGGTTAGTGACACTCTCAGTGTTGCAGTTCCAAGGTTTACACGTGACAGGGAAAAGGAAAATGAGTCACTTCCTGAAATGAAATATTATACACCAGCAGAAACACCTGTAAATTTTCCAACTCAGCAGATGACACAAGATCCCTTGGGCATGAGCACTACATCTGATAGTGCAATTGCTACAGTAATTCGGCAGTTGAGGAAACCAGTTACAGATCTCATGGTGTTCAGTGGTAATCCGTTGGAGTATCGAAAGTTTATGCGACAATTCAAGACCAAGATACTTGTGAACACTGATGATTTTGATGAACGTCTAAACTATTTGGAACAGTTCACATCTGGAGAAGTTTGCAACATAGTGAGTAGCTATGGTTATTTAGATGCGGAACAAGGATATCCTGCCGCAATCAAAGAGCTTCAGCAGAGATATGGAAACGAAGATGTGATAGTGAATGCTTTTATTCAAAAGGCATTAGAATGGCCCTACATCAGAGCAGACAATTCAAAAGCACTGGATGAGTACGCCGTATTCTTGTCTGAATGTGAAAACACTGTTAAAAGCAACATTCTTGACAATACAGACAACATCCGGAGATTGATTACGAAGCTACCCTATCATTACCAAGAAGGATTCAGAAATAGGATCCAAAGCATCCGTGCTTCAGGAAAAAGTGTAAAATTTTCAGATCTGGTAGAGTTTGTTCGGAAGGAATCATGGAAAGCGAATGACCCAATGTTTGGCAAAGATGCATTGCAGGACAAGGACAAACATGGAAACCCTAGCAGGGCTACTTTGAAAACAAGGAACCAACTTTCACGAACAAAATTGACTTTGGCAACAGAAGTGAATACCCCTCAAACTTCACAGGTTCCAAGATCACCAGCATCACCTCAACCTCAGACAAGTAAGAAACAAACAGGTCAGCCACCGCCTGCAGATAGGAAGTGTTTATGTTGTGAATCAAACCAGCATTTTGTGAGTGAATGTGAAAAATTCACTGCTCTGTCGTACGACGAAATAGTGAACTTTATCAGAAGTAAAAGACTTTGTTTTCGATGCCTCAGAAAAGGACATCTTAGCAAGGATTGCAGAAGTAATATCACATGTACAAAATGCCAGCGTCGACATAATGCACTGCTTCATCGTGAAGAAGCTCAAGTGATTCAACATGATACGATACAGACAAGTTCTTGCCTGAGTTCTGCTATGGGGGTCGGACTAGAAACAGATGGCACGTGCACTATGGTGATTATGCCTGTGAAGGTTCTGATGAAAGGTGGGTTACGAGCCATAGAGACTTATGCTTTTTTAGACCCAGGCAGCAGCGCGTCTTTCTGTACTGAATCATTGATGAGACAGTTAGGAGCAAGTGGCAAGCCAATGAAGCTGAACATTGACAGTATGGGCAAACCTAGAACTATCAACACCTATGCTGTATCCGGAATGCAAGTTTGCAATCTCACCATGGAAAACCATGTTGCACTTCCCAAGATGTTTACTGTTGAGAAGTTGCCAGTGTCAAAGATTCATATTCCAACTTCAGATGACATAAAAGATTGGACTCATCTCAGGGACGTAGAGATACCAATCATAGATGCTGAAATAGGTATCATGATAGGCAACAATATCGCAGATGCCTACACACCTATAGAGGTACGTTCTGGACCCGATCATGCTCCACATGCAACTAGAACCCGCCTTGGTTGGGCGTTGTGGAATGTGACAAGACCTGCGAGTGCAACCAGATGTTTGGAATCCATAAGATGCACAGTGAACAGAACAGATGTTGCAGTTCATGAATGCGAGGAGTTCAAACAGCTAGATAGGATGGTGCGACACTCATTCAACATAGATTTCCCCGAGAGGATCATCGATGATGAGAAGCAGCACTCTCAGGAAGATAAAGTATTCCTAAAGGGAGTCGATGAATCCATTAAACTCTGTGATGGACATTATGAAATATCTCTTCCTTTTAGGGAACAGAAAGTTAGTTTCCCGAACAACTACTCCTTAGCATTCAAGCGTTTGATGGGATTGAAAAGGCAGATGGAACAGGATAACAAATTTCGTTTGGAATATACCGACTTCATGAATAAAATGTTGGAGAAGGGCTATGCTGAACACATTCCAGATGATGAACCAGAACCAGAACCAGAGGATGGATTTGTGTGGTACATCCCCCACCATGGTGTGTACCACCCAAAGAAGGTGAAGTTGCGGGTTGTGTTTAACTGTGCAGCCACTTACAATGGTACTTCACTCAATCAACAGTTACTATCCGGACCTGATCTGACAAATAACCTCATAGGTGTTTTGGTGAGATTTCGACAAGAGAATGTAGCTGCCAAGGGAGACATAGAGAGTATGTTTTACCAAGTTTGGGTAACAAAGGCTCATTGGAACTATCAGCGGTTTCTCTGGTGGCAAGACGGGGACTACGGAAATCCACCATTGAGGTACAGGATGAAAGTCCACATGTTTGGTACTACATCGTCACCTAGTTGTGCAAATGCAGCCCTCTTGAAGACCGCTAATGACAATGAAGAAAAGTATGAACCAGAGATTGCAGAAATTGTAAGGAACATCTTCTATGTGGACGATTGCTTGTTTTCTGAGCAAGATGTAACCAAGACTGTCAGTTGTGTGACCCAGGAAAGCTCTCTGTGTCAGCAGGGTGGATTTAGACTTACTAAATGGGTAAGCAACAGTGCAGAAGTTCTCGACAAAATTCTGCCTGAAGACCGAGCTGAAGGAGTGAAATCTAGATCAATCTAGATCAACTAGAAACTGGATCAGAGGAAAGAGCCCTTGGAGTTGTTTGGACAGTGCACACTGACTCCTTAGGCTTCAAAGTTAATGTGAAATATGCCGATTGTACAGGAAGACATGTCTTATCAGTCGTCAGTTCAATCTATGACCCATTAGGCATGGTTTCACCTTTTGTACTCAAGGCAAAGATTCTACTGCAAGACATGTGCCGTCAAGGACTTGGATGGGATGAAGAGGTGTCAGGTACTAAGCTCACTTTGGAACGGTAAGGGCATGTCAACTGCACATCTTCTCAGATGCTAGTAACGAAGGGTATGGTCTCACAGCTTACCTCCGGTTGAAGAATGAGATGGGCAAAGTTCATTGCTCACTGGTAATGGCCAAGGCAAGAGTAACTCCCATAAAGAAAGTAACTACACCAAGGCTTGAATTGACAGCAGCTTGTGTAGCAGTTCGGTTAAGTCGCATTCTCCAGAAGGAACTTCAGTACAAACTCACTGATATCTATTACTGGACAGACAGCATGTCTGTTATCAGGTATGTCAACAATGAAACATCACGTTTCAAGACTTTTGTGGCTAACAGAATCACTATTATCCGAGATGGTTCGGATCCCCGGCAATGGAAACACATTCCAACTGCACTGAATCCAGCTGATGCTGCTTCAAGAGGCATGAGGATGGCCACATTCTTAAAGATGGATCAGTGGTTCAAGGGACCAACCTTTCTTTGGGAATCCGAAGAGGAATGGCCCTCTGTAGTCAAGGCTTGTGACAATATTCCAGAAGATGACCCTGAAATGAAGTCTGTAGTGGCTGCTACGGTGACAGATGAATCTGTGGACATTATGAACAGGCTGCTGAACTACAGTTCATCCTGGCTGAAACTGAAAAAGATTGTAGGTTGGTTCCTCCTTTTCATGGATTATCTGAAAAGGAAATTGAAAGAGAAACAAGAGTCAGCAAAACGAACTCAAGAGTGTGCTGAACACTTAGCTAAGAGTAAGAAAACCAAAGTGACAGTACAAGAGGAGAAATCTAGAGGTCACCTGACAGTCAAAATCATGGAGAAAGCTGAGGTCACCATATTATGTTACATCCAACAGCAGTATTTCCATGATATCATCAGTGCTCTTAAAAACCCAAGCAAAGAATCAAGACTGAACAAGTCAATTCGTAAATTGGATCCGTTCCTCGAGGATGGACTGCTTCGAGTTGGTGGACGGTTGAGTCAGGCTTCATTACCTTATGAAGTAAAGCACCCCATTATATTGCCCAAAAAGTGCTTTGTGTCTCAACTGATAGTACAAGATTCCCATGAATCCATGGGGCACATGGGCAAAGCTGCTATGATGACGTACCTGCGCCAACGATATTGGATACAAGGAGTGGGACATCTTATTAAAAAGATTACTTCTACATGTGTTATATGTAGAAGGTGCAGTGCTCAGAGAAAAAAACAGAAAATGGCAGACTTACCTGTAGATAGGCTGACAGCGGGTGAACCACCCTTCTCACGTGTAGGCGTTGACTTCTTTGGTCCCTTTGTGGTCAAAAGGGGTCGTTCAAATGTGAAGCGCTATGGGGTAGTCTTCACTTGTTTGGCTTTGAGAGCAGTGCATCTTGAGCTGGCCGCTTCCCTCGATACAAGCTCTTGTGTCAATGCTTTCAGACGATTCTTTGCAAGAAGAGGACATCCCAAGAAAGTTTGGACTGATAATGGAACGAATCTAGTAGGCTGTGAGAGGGAAATGAGAGAAGACATACACTTATGGAATATCGAACAACTGCATCAGACTTTCCTCCAGAGGAACATTTCGTGGGAGTTCAATCCTCCATCCGCCTCTCATCACGGTGGGGTATGGGAGCGCATGATACGTACCATAAGGAGGATCTTGTACTCTCTTCTGCACAGTCAAGTCATACATTTAGATGACGATGGTCTTCAGACTCTCTTCTGCGAGGTCGAGGTTATTGTTAACAGTCGCCCGATTACCACTGTGACAAATGATGTCAAGGACCTGACACCGTACCATTGACACCCAATGATCTACTAATGCTTCGAAGTGGTGGAGCACTACCTCCAGGACTATTTAGAGCAGACGACTGTTACGCCAAAAGACAATGGAGGCGGATACAGTATCTGTCTGATTCATTCTGGAAGCGATGGTCAAAGGAATATCTCACCATGTTACAGGAAAGAGTAAAATGGACTCGTGTCCGAAAGAACATTAGTGTAAATGATATTGTCTTGGTCATGGACAATTGCCTCGAAATTCATGGAGCCTTGGGCGAGTAGTCGAAGTGTATGCCGACAAAAAAGGATTTGTTCGCATCGTGAGGATCAAAACACCCACATCAACTGTGCTGCGTCCCATAAGCAAACTCTGTGAACTTCTGGAAGTGAACAGTGACTCAGTTAACAGCTAGAACGTGGCATATGAAAGATGCCTTTGATAATGACATTAAAGACACATGCAAATGTATTCCAAGAATCTTACTTATGTGCAAAAGATCAGTTATGTTAAACAGTATAATTGTTTCATTCGTACTCCACAATTAGGGGGTCGGAATGTTGGATTCTGATCAATTGTTTGGATTAATTTTATATTTAAGCGGTCTTCATTTAAGTTGTAAATGGAAGTAACTTTTATGTTGTTGTTGGTATCGCTATGTGCAAGAGACTGTGCTGTGAGCGGGGGACCGTGGAGGTTATAAAACGGTAATTATGCAATTAAATACAAAACTTCAGTAACCGAGAAGTAAGACATTATTAATGTGACCGTTTATTTTCATATTTGCGTCTAAATATTAGTATATTCATAGACTTTTCTGCATTATTTTGCAGTCAATCAAGCCGACAGCGTTACCTTAGTATTTCGTGGCAACGGCACCCTTCAACTAGAACAAGAAACTGTTAGAATATGAAACTAAGAATTAGAATAAATGATGAAGTTGAAGAATGATTTGACGTCCTCAATTCTTGATACCCACAGTCGTGTTATTCTATACCGTGTCATGTTATTCTATACTGTGTCGTACTATTCTATACTGTGTCTTGTTTTCTATACTGTGTGTTGTTATTCTATACCGTGTCGTGTTATTCTATACTGTGTCGTGTTATTCTATACCGTGTCGTGTTATTCTATACCATGTCATGTTATTCTATACTGTGTCGTGTTATTCTATACTGTGTCTTGTTTTCTATACTGTGTGTTGTTATTCTATACTGTGTCGTGTTATTCTATATTGTGTCGTGTTATTCCATATTGTGTCGTGTTATTCTATATTGTGAGTGTTATATTATACCGTGTCGTGTTATTCTATACTGTGTCGTGTTATTCTATATTGTGTCGTGTTATTCTATACCGTGTCTTGTTATTCTATACCGTGTCGTATTATTCTATACCGTGTCGTGTTATTCTATACTGTGTCTTGTTATTCTATACTTTGTCGTGTTATTCTATACCGTGTCGTGTTATTCTATACTGTGTCTTGTTATTCTATATTGTGTCGTGTTATTCTATACTGTGTCGTGTTATTCTATACTGTGTATTGTTATTCTATACCGTGTCGTGTTATTCTATACTGTGTCGTGTTATTCTATATTGTGTCGTGTTATTCTATACTGTGTCGTGTTATTCTATATTGTGTCGTGTTATTCTATACTGTGTCGTGTTATTCTATACTGTGTCTTGTTATTCTATACCGTGTCGTGTTATTCTATATTGTGTCGTGTTATTCTATACCGTGTCGTGTTATTCTATACTGTGTCTTGTTATTCTATATTGTGTCGTGTTATTCTATACTGTGTCGTGTTATTCTATACTGTGTCGTGTTATTCTATACTGTGTCGTGTTATTCTATATTATGTCGTGTTATTCTATACTGTGTCGTGTTATTCTATACTGTGTCTTGTTATTCTATACTGCGTCGTGTTATTCTATACTGTGTCTTGTTATTCTATTCTATACTGTGTTTTGTTATTCTATACTGTGTCGTGTTATTCTATACTGAGAATTAATGACAATACCAGGAAGGGATGTCTTCCTAAGATTTCAACCTTCATAAACTGTTCTAGGCCACAGTAAATACATTATAAGACTTTCATCAAATGTTCCAAATGCGAGACATTTATTTATTATTTTTATTTAATTAAGTTATAACACTTGTTGAGAGCATCTTTGAACATGAATTGTCGAAGGATGTGAATCATGACAGATTGATAAGTCATGGAGTAAAGAGAGAAACACATATTGGGTTTTCCTTCGTCCGTAGCAGTCATGTGATCAATGATCCATCACCGCCTTGACCATTCAATCACGTGATCATCCTTGAAGTATGATTTGGGTGAACCAGAAAAATGTACTCTGGGTTCGAATCCCGGTTCACCCTGACTATGTTGTTTTGAGGTTTACCAGCACCACATCCGTTCTCGTGTGTTTCACAAATTCGTAAACGTCTAAGACCTGCATCATTTCGGGTTTTCCTCCCACATTAAGCTGACATGCCATGATATAACTGGAATTCTGTTAAAAGCGGCGTTAAACCCCATTCACTCACTAACTCAATCACTTTTCATAGATCCGGTGTCCGGTAAAAAATGATGATGCGTGATGTCGTCACGACAGCCACAGAAAACAGAGAAAGACACGGAAATAGAAGGATGAAACTTCAGTGGATATAGACACATTATTCACACAGCTCTGACAATAGTCATGGCCTTGTGTTCTTCTGTGATTACAACGTAGGCTCTTAAGAACAACAACGTTGTCTCATTATCAACGGCTTTGTTCCGAAAAGGCAAATTCAAAAGTACATTGGTAATGAAGACATTAAATTTCAGTCCGGCAAGATATCCTGCTTCACCAGTACTTCATGGTGATCAAAGAACGCTGCAACTACGCCACCAGCAACACCAACAGAAACCTAAACGAATGTGTAATGCGAAATCTGTTTTTATTTAAAGTATATATATCCTCTGGTATTTCGTTCATTGTTCATGTCATCTCGACCGGGAGGAATCAGATCACAATGCACACCACACTCCGGCAGCAGTCGGGACCATTACATGAAGTATCCAAATTGTATAAAGTTATCTAATTTGTTTTAGCTGTAAAAAGGCCTTCGAAAAGTTGGATATCAGTTTGTACGAGATATAAGCTGAAGTCCAGCAATATCACTCCACCACTGCTGCCCGAGGTATTAATAGCTACGGAATTAGCCGAGTGGATCCAAACTATATTACATGATCTTGTAACCTTTTCAAGCCATGGCAGCAGCAATCCCCACTATCAGCCCAGATGTGATCAATCTAAAACAAGTTAAATACATGTCAGCAATCTCAATTTAGTAAAACATCATTAGAAACGATGTTCTTAAAAAGAAAATTAGTTTCACTAACTTGTGGAAAAGTGCATTACATTAGTTTAAACTACGAGTGCAGACAGTGCAGCCACATGTCCACACACGACTGGGGGCTGAATAGTTCTGAGCCTGACTACGAAGGGTGGATAGTACAATACATTGTGTGTGTGTGTGTGTGTGTGTGTGTGTGTGTGTGTGTGTGTGTGTGTGTTTGGGGGGGGGGGGACGTCAAAGGTACCGAACATTGGACCAGATAACCTCATATCCGTTAACGTGTAATTACTTCAAATAATTTTTGTGTGTCTATCCGGGATTTTACAGGTTTGCCAGTCAGTTAAACCCCGGCTTGAAACAAAGGATCCATGATTAGTACCCTGGTATATCGTAGCCACTCCTCCCCTATCTTATTACAAAGAGTCGATTAATCGACCAGAATAACGTTGTGCGGTGCAGTGTACTGATCCTGTGTGGTAGGGTAGCATCAGTCCCTGTGAAACAACTGGTATATTCCTAAGCAATGCAAAGGTTTTTGCTTGATACTGGAGGCAAATATTTTTGTCTAGGAGATGTCTGGAGATGTCTGGGAGATGTCCTGGAGATGTCCTGGAGATGTCTGGGAGATGTCTGGGAGATGCCTGGGAGATGTCTGGGAGATGTCCTGGAGATGTCTGGGAGATGTCTGGAGATGTCTGGGAGATGTCCTGGAGATGTCTGGGAGATGTCTGGGAGATGCCTGGGAGATGTCTGGGAGATGTCTGGGAGATGTCTGGAGATGTCTGGGAGATGTCCTGGAGATGTCTGGGAGATGTCTGGGAGATGCCTGGGAGATGTCTGGGAGATGTCCTGGAGATGTCTGGGAGATGTCTGGAGATGTCTGGGAGATGTCTCGAGATGTCTGGGAGATGTCCTGGAGATGTCTGGGAGATGTCTGGGAGATGCCTGGGAGGTGTCTGGGAGATGATCATGTCATTTTACAGTGGAGCTTTTACCTGCACCGTGTGACCAGGTGTGTGTGAGACAGGCAAGGGACACGCCCGTCACTGTGAGCAGTGCCAATAGGACATGTAGTTTCTGAGCATGGGGTCAGTTACTATTGTTATAGTGACTCCATGGCCCCTATGAACACATCGGCCACAGCATGAAACGGGTTCGTTCTAGCTCAATACGTTTTTGGACTTGGAAACGTTTTAAAAATAATTTCTTGTTTGTATACCTTTTCTTTCTATTACGGGGTGATCTGGTAGGCCAAAACAGTATTTGGATCATGAACAATGAATTTCCATGAGCAACGGCCACCTGTTTCTGATGGTTTTGTGTTTGTTGTGAATACAAATCTGCTTTTCCTTTTGCATAACCTTTGATTAGGAGTATACAACTGAATCCAACGGATGCCGCCCTCACTTGAGAATTTTGATATGTTCAATGCAGAGGTTTAAAAAGTAAATTTGATACCTATTAATATCGTTCACATCGCAGTATTTTCTCGACATGCTATCATGACAACAAACGCTTTGGTGATAGGTGACGTGAAATGGGGCTTAAAGTCCCGTCCCACATTATTGCATTTGTATAGGCACGTGCATGCACGTGTGTGTGTGCCTGTTTGTACTGGTCCAGACTAATGCCGGTTTTATAGTGCTAGCCATGCCGCAGTTTAACATGAATACCCAAC